CATTAACAGTAACTATCGTTAAGAGTTCACTTAACCCAGCAAAAAATTCCCATTCTGACGAAGAAAGATACAAAATGAAATTAAATTATTGGTTCACACAGTTTTCCCTAAGAAAGTACTCTAGAGACGTCGTACGCCGAGGCATTAGGCATCTGGAGCTTGAAGGCATATTTACCTGGTATAGATTTGAAACAGACATACAAACAGACATACAGACAGACCAATCTTGCTGAAAGATGTACAGCGATTTGAATTTGCGCAGAAAAAAATAAATGTTAAACAGCGAGGTCCGTGTTTAGTGCACACAGACTAATCAATGAAAATGCTAACTTAAAATCGCATCCTATGGAAGGTAAACGTGGAATTTAATAGGCAAAGGAGAGTGCGTAAATTTAAGGTTTGAGAATCACCAAGACAAGTTGAGGCTGAGTTCTTGGTCAAGCTATGCGCATAGGGCGGGTTTCTCCCGCCGTACATGAGCTGTATTCAAGATGTTCAGTGTCCTAGTTGTTCTTGTCCGATCAAGTACTGAAATGTAAATTTTTGGGTCAACGGAGTGACCGCTATCTAGGTGCTTCTTGAAAAATAACGAGGAAGTTCACGTCCCTGCCTCAAACGCCATTTAGGGAGGTGCCCAACTGACCTAGCTACCAGACCCCTTTACGTCCATCTAGTGTACTTGCATCCACAGGTGCCTGTGAATTCATCATATTGATTTAAGGTCGTGTGTATTGGCAAGGCATCCCTTGCCCGTGGAATTAGAATACCTTTGGTGGGACTTCTAAATATGACTTCGGCTGCATTGCATGTCCTTTCAGTGCCGCATCTCAATCGTCGCTTGGTGGTATTTGAAAAGTTATCACTCCTAAGCGGTTAGGATATTACAACGGGCTTTTTCAGAACTGACTGTCTCGCGAATTCTGCCCGTATGGTATAGCTGTGCTTTTGGATGGAAAATAATGGATATTCACGTTTAAGCAAGGTGCCTTTGACGCAGGCAAAGTCTGCATCTAGTGCCTCAATAAAGTAAGTATTTCTCGCTCCTTAGAAAAGAGCGCAAATCCGGTTTCGTTTCCGTTGTATCGGCGCAAAGCTTAGGAGATGTCAGTATTGATTTCCCAATGTATCCCAAGGGAAAACCGATCGTTTTTTTGAACAAACTTCCTGGCTAGTCGTGAGGACGCCCAGGAAATGTAGCTTGTTGCACTGCCCCTTTTCCACAGTTAATCTGATTCTTGAATAGATACTACTCACACCAACAAGTAGGTCTTCGAATTCCCTAATGTTATTGCCAATTGCACGGCGGACATCCCTAGGGTAACCAGTCTAGGAACATAATTCAGACAGGTAACTTAGCTCAACTTGGCAGCGCAACAAAGCAACCACTGCTTTACCGTCAGGAAAATAAAATCACGGACAGGAAGAGGAAGTACACTAGGCTGAGCCACTAAGCTGCAATGGAGAAGAATTAATAAACACGCAAGCCTGACTGAACCATCTTCGCAGTTAAATCTAAGTCAATGGGGCAGGCCATTCTAGACGAAACTCACAACCGCTGTTGAATGTCAGGGAGGTCTGCCTTGCAGCCCTAGATGCAACAAATGCCACCAAGTAACTTAATGGGGGAAGGGGGTGGCCGGCAGACTAGACCCACGTCATTGACCTCAGTTACCAGGGCAACGCGGATCACGTGGTTCCGGAAACCGACAGCCGCAGGATGCAACTCCACAGAAGGACCACAGAATAATAAAACAGAGCAATGTCAGCCCTTGAATAAGATGAAACGAGAGTGTAGACTTCATAAGTGACAGAAATTACGTCGGTTTACATCGTTCTGTTGGAAACTGGGGCTTGTCTGAAGAAGTCTGTCCCGGGTATAAGGAAAGGGGATTCGGACTGCCCTTCCGAACACATAATGCATGTTTGCCGAGAAGAAAGTCCCTTCCTACAGCAATGGCCCAAACTCGTGAAGTGTTATGGTTTCAAAAAGTGTTTTCTAAGCGAAAAACGTATTAATGGGGGGGGGGGCACTCACTGATCGTTCTTACGGAACTCACTCGTTCCGTTGTGCCTCGATTCCAGCCAACAGCTGCACAGCGAAGCATGATATAGGCAGAATGGCATTAGCGACAAAGACAAGGGAGACTGGAATGGCCATTTCTGGCTGAGCGCCCCCTACCATTGTATATTCCCGATCGAAACCAACAAGGCAACGGGCTCGTAGCCCAGTGGTTAGAGGCGTGGACTTCCAACTAACGGGTCGCGGGTTCGAGCCTCGGGTGTTCCACACTTCGGGGTTGGGTATGACTGGTTGACGACGGCTAATAAGCCAGAAATAGCCATTGCAGTCTCCCCTGTCTTTTTCGGTAGTGCTATTCTGCATAAAACGTGTTGATGCAGGACTGGTAAAGTCAAAAGCCCAGAACGGCACCCTTTGACGATTCCAGTCTGACCGAACACTTATTGATTAGTATTCAGCATGCCGTTACGACTCCTGGTTCACCTGTTTTAACTGACTAATAATGAAAAATATTTTCCTTTGATAGGACGTGTGTAGCTGGTAGTTTTGAAACCTTGTATGTGAGTGCAGCAGCATGTCGGATGCAGGCTTATTCTTGAACTGAAAGCGTTTTCTTAAAACCAATGGACACTTTTTATTTAAGCACAGAGTATAGAGGAGGCGTCATAAGCTACCATGTAAACACAAGAAAAAATATGTGTGCATGCGTTTTCTATACAGTATATTTGAGTTTGAAATGAAAATCATTGAAAAACCGGCATTCTCGCCTGACTGAAATATATTGGGATCATGCCGCACGGTAATAAATATTGCAAACTCACTGAGGTAATCTTTTCTTATTAAAAACACATTTAAGGACTTCAGTTAGAAGTTCATGAGATAGCATATCTACTGCACTTAAGCAGACTGCAATTTCACATCGAGCATGCAGGAGCTCAGAGGCGTTTGCATATTCAAGGAGCTTTGAACATAACTGAGCAACTATTTTTCTCTTTGCTGTAACGCGCAAACGAAGCTTTTATGATGGCAGTTAGGAGATCACAGAGTCGGGACTGTCACAGTGGCCAGGTTAGGAGAGAGCCAATTCAACCTGACTTCCAGTCTACCACCGCACCAAACCACTCCCCCCCCGGTCAGTAGTCAACCTTTCAAGCTGCTAGGCACATCCAGACATTACTTCCCAAAGAAGTCCGCACAAATTATTCTGGAATGACGGAGCGTGGCCTTCAGAGAGCACACTGGAAGACCACCAGGTAGGAGCAGTCTGATTTTCTTGACTTTCCTTGTATGTTTCGACTTGACTGAACGATGTGGGGCATAGGATTTCTTTTCATTCATGAGCTACTAAAAACATTCTTTTGAAAATAAATCACGTTTACCGGCTCTGTAAAAGGGGAAGCGTTTGGTCTTTAATTTCACTCCATGGACAAACCAGGCCGATTGGGTTCGGCAAATTTACGCTATTTTTGAAAAACAGATTTCAGCAGTTTTGTAGCGTTTGCATAATTGTGGTAAATCTTTGCACTTAAAAAATGGAATGATATGGTAGCGTTCATATGGGAGTTTTCACAATGGACTAAATGTGAACGCAATCCCAGATTCATTCTACCCTGGGAAAAATTCCAGTGTAGGTGGCATGCATTTTTCCAATACTAAGATGAATTTAACCCTATTTTACGGAAGGATTGCATGGTTTAAAGTATCGGATACTTTAGATGAAGTTCCACTCTGAACTGGCTGATAGCGCAACCGTAAGTCCATTCTGAGTCTGGGAAAAATTCCAAATTAAGTAGCCCGCGTTTTAAAGACCAATATAAAAATAATTTATTTTTTTAAAAAAGCATCTTCCTCGTCATTGAAGATTGGCTGCTTCAACAGCGACTTCCGGTGATGGCATAGATGCAATCGCACAGTTAATTACCAATCGCGCAAAATAAGAACCGATTAGATATGCCCTTTCTTTTAGGAGTGATATTGTGTATCGGAAAGCATAATGCCAAAACATTTCAGGTTCGCCAAGGTGTCGATTTATAAATGTACTTCTTCCCATCCGCCTACATGGATGTTTTATGAATTGAAATATATTCTGTGTAAAAGTGCATTAGAATATCGCAACTTTTACTCACTGGATAGCAAATGACGCCTTTTTTGTATTTTATAATCGCAAAAGTGTATTCCGATTTTAAGAGTATGTAATCGTGAGATTTATTAAGACTGTAAAATGTGTATTCAATTAACGGCGTAATTAACCGTTAATTAATAGTTCAAGGGAAGTATATAACACAGTGCACATCTATTTCAGCATTTATGGACCCTTATACCGTATCGTCTTAATGGCTCGGTGGGCTGTTTGTTATGCTTATATAGGAAGTTCGCAGCTTACAGGCAGTAAACCCAATGCGCCAATGCAATGGCGGGCTAGGCTCAAAGTTAAACAGAAATTAAAGATTCTTTTAAAGCTGAAAAATAGGTTTTTTCAGGAAAAAGGTTTAAGGAAGACGTGACGTATTTCCGAATGATTACATTAAGAAAAAATTGTGTACATCTTTTCTATAGAAAATGCACTTTAATTCGTAAAAGCCTCCAATTTGCGCTGTTTCAGCGGTCGTCTTGTGTCGAGTGGGCTTTTAGCATGTGGCCGAAAAGAAGTCCACTCAAAATCGGAACCCTGGAATGATTGATGCGTTTTGGGATTATACCGAAAGATAATCGATATTATGGCTCTACTTGGGCGGTCCTTCCCATCTGAAGATAACTTGCTTTGGGGACGGCTGTTTTTGCGGTTCCAAAAAGTTCGCAGATTTCTTTGCTTAGAATTGTGAAATTAAGCAGTCGTGGATGGGCGCTAACCAATTGAGCTACGGAACTACACTTCCCGTTGCGCCTTGAGGATCTCTCTCAAATCTCGCTAACAGCCGATCAGCGACGCGTGATATAGGCAGAATAGCATTACCGACAAGTGAGACTGCAATGGCCACTCATGGTTTGTTATCTGCCGTCAGCCAGTCACACCCTGACCTCGCAGTGCGGAACACCTGGGGCTCGATCCCACGACCTGCTGGTTAAACGTCCAACGTCCCTAGCCACTGAGCCACGGTTCGTTGTCCTGTCGTTTGCGATCGGGCATAAATAGGGTTAGGACGACTATCGCCGAGGATGATGATGATGATGATGATGATGATGATGATGATGATGATGATGATGATGATGATGATGATGATGATGATGATGATGATGATGATGATGATGATGATGATGATGATGATGATGATGATGATGATGATGATGATGATGATGGCGTCGGCGGCGGCGGTGGTGGTGGTTGTGGTGGTGACGATGACGATGATGATAATACTAATAGGGACGGCGATGCTGCTGCTGCTGCTGCTGCTGCTGCTGCTGCTGCTGCTGCTGCTGCTGCTGCTGCTGCTGCTGCTGCTGCTGCTGCTGCTGCTGCTGCTGCTGCTGCTGCTGCTGCTGCTGCTGCTGCTGCTGCTGCTGCATAGAGACCTCCTTCCCATTCTGGATAACAAAGCCTCCTTAAGTTAAGAGGTTATCATACTAACGGCACAGGTACTAACCAAAAGCTCATACACGCGTGTTTCGCCGGTATTCTGCCGATGCATGGTGCAGCTGCAAGGGGTTTCGGCTCGTCATTTGGTCCCCTAGAATTCCCCGCCTCTTTTCTGGCAGATACTCCTATTTATAAATTTTCCCCTTTTTATTTCCCTAGAAATTAACTATGAACATGAAGTAGATCATTTTATTCAATGTCTATAGGCTCAGACCGAGATTTTTTATGTTGGAATATTTGGGCCGAAGTCCATCAGCCACAGCCTGTAACTGCGTAATATTCCTTAACTGCCGACAGGCAGTTTGTAGTATACTTTAGGGTAAGATAATACCATGCTAGCAGCGCAGGTACTAGCCTCTGGCCACAATACAAAATATGTAGGCATTCCAGTCATGTCCACAGTTTGACTATTTAAAAACTTGTTGCGATCCCGAAAGCAATCAGTATGCCAAATTCTGGATGAGGGCCATTTACGCGCGCAGAAATCAGGGTCGCTGTCTCGAGCGGTAGTCGTCAATAGCGATGCCAAAATGAGTGCTGGAAGAGTTAAGCCTTTCCGAAGGAGAGAGTCACTTGTTTGTACAAGTTTGTGGGAGCAGAGCTCAGGGACTTCT